CTTGAGTCCATATGATTTTGGATATGTATGCAGTGTATTCATCTTGTACTTTAGTAAAAGTATAAGTACTCAGATCTTGTACTTGAGTCCATATGATTTTGGATATGTATGCAGTGTATTCATCTTGTACTTTAGTAAAAGTATAAGTACTCAGATCTTGTACTTGAGTATAAGTACTCAGATCTTGTAGTAAATATAGAAGTACTCAGATCTTGTACTTGAGTAAAAGTACTCAGATATTGGACTTGAGTATAAGTACTCAGATCTTGTACTTGAGTAAAAGTATAAGTATTCAGGTCTGGTACTTTAGTAAAAGTAGAAGTACTCAGATCTTGTACTTGATTAAAAGTAGAAGTACTCAGATCTTGTACTTTAGTAAAATAGAAGTACTCAGATCTGGTACTTGAGTAGAAGTACTCAGATATTGTACTTGAGTAAATGTAGAAGTACTCAGATCTTGAAGTAAAAGTAGAAGTACTCTATCTGGTACTTGAGTAAAAGTACTCAGATATTGTACTGGAGTAAAAGTAGAAGTACTCAGATCTTGTACTTGAGTAAAAGTATAAGTACCCAGGTCTGGTACTTTAGTAAAAGTAGAAGTACTCAGGTCTTGTAATTGAGTAAAAGTAGAAGTACTCAGATCTTGTACTTGAGTAAAAGTAGAAGTACTCAGGTCTTGTAATTGAGTAAAAGTAGAATTATTCAGATCTTGTACTTGAGTACAAGTAAAGATAGCATCAGGATGCAGGGAGTTAACAACGGCAATATTCCTGTGGTTCGTTTCCCTGTGCATTTGCAGAGCATGCTGTGCACGTGCACCTGATTGCCCTCCCCTCCCCCACTCTTACTAAGCCGTGCTGTGAGAAACAGGACAGAGCAGTGATGCAGTGACGCGTCCTAAAACCCGGAAATAAGATGCTGGTTCCCTCGCAACGTGATTTCTCCTCCATATGATTTTGGATATGTATGCAGTGTATTCATCTTGTACTTTAGTAAAAGTATAAGTACTCAGATCTTGTACTTGAGTAAAAGTACTCAGATATTGGACTTGAGTATAAGTACTCAGATCTTGTACTTGAGTAAAAGTATAAGTACTCAGATCTTGTAGTAAAGTAAAAGAGGAAGTACTCAGGTCTGGTACTTTAGTAAAAGTAGAAGTACTCAGATCTTGTACTTGATTAAAAGTAGAAGTACTCAGATCTTGTACTTGAGTAAAATAGAAGTACTCAGATCTGGTACTTGAGTAGAAGTACTCAGATATTGTACTTGAGTAAATGTAGAAGTACTCAGATCTTGAAGTAAAAGTAGAAGTACTCTATCTGGTACTTGAGTAAAAGTACTCAGATATTGTACTGGAGTAAAAGTAGAAGTACTCAGATCTTGTACTTGAGTAAAAGTATAAGTACCCAGGTCTGGTACTTTAGTAAAAGTAGAAGTACTCAGGTCTTGTAATTGAGTAAAAGTAGAAGTACTCAGATCTTGTACTTGAGTAAAAGTAGAATTATTCAGATCTTGTACTTGAGTACAAGTAAAGATAGCATCAGGATGCAGGGAGTTAACAACGGCAATATTCCTGTGGTTCGTTTCCCTGTGCATTTGCAGAGCATGGTGTGCACGTGCACCTGATTGCCCTCCCCTCCCCCACTCTTACTAAGACGTGCTGTGAGAAACAGGACAGAGCAGTGATGCAGTGACGCGTCCTAAAACCCGGAAATAAGATGCTGGTTCCCTCGCAACGTGATTTCTCCTCCATATGATTTTGGATATGTATGCAGTGTATTCATCTTGTACTTTAGTAAAAGTATAAGTACTCAGATCTTGTACTTGAGTATAAGTACTCAGATCTTGTAGTAAATATAGAAGTACTCAGATCTTGTACTTGAGTAAAAGTACTCAGATATTGGACTTGAGTATAAGTACTCAGATCTTGTACTTGAGTAAAAGTATAAGTACTCAGATCTTGTAGTAAAGTAAAAGTAGAAGTACTCAGGTCTGGTACTTTAGTAAAAGTAGAAGTACTCAAATCTTGTACTTGATTAAAAGTAGAAGTACTCAGATCTTGTAGTAAAAGTAGAAGTACTCTATCTGGTACTTGAGTAAAAGTACTCAGATATTGTACTGGAGTAAAAGTAGAAGTACTCAGATATTGTACTTGAGTAAATGTAGAAGTACTCAGATCTTGTAGTAAAAGTAGAAGTACTCTATCTGGTACTTGAGTAAAAGTACTCAGATATTGTACTGGAGTAAAAGTAGAAGTACTCAGATATTGTACTTGAGTAAATGTAGAAGTACTCAGATATTGTACTTGAGTAAAAGTACTCAGGTCTTGTAATTGAGTAAAAGTAGAAGTACTCAGATCTTGTACTTGAGTAAAAGTACAATTATTCAGATCTTGTACAAAAGTATAAGTACCCAGGTCTGGTACTTTAGTAAAAGTAGAAGTACTCAGGTCTTGTAATTGAGTAAAAGTAGAATTATTCAGATCTTGTACTTGAGTACAAGTAAAGATAGCATCAGGATGCAGGGAGTTAACAACGGCAATATTCCTGTGGTTCGTTTCCCTGTGCATTTGCAGAGCATGGTGTGCACGTGCACCTGATTGCCCTCCCCTCCCCCACTCTTACTAAGCCGTGCTGTGAGAAACAGGACAGAGCAGTGATGCAGTGACGCGTCCTAAAACCCGGAAATAAGATGCTGGTTCCCTCGCAACGTGATTTCTCCTCCATATTATTTTGGATATGTATGCAGTGTATTCATCTTGTACTTTAGTAAAAGTAAAAGTACTCAGATATTGGACTTGAGTATAAGTACTCAGATATTGTACTTGAGTAAAAGTATAAGTACTCAGATCTTGTAGTAAAGTAAAAGTAGAAGTACTCAGGTCTGGTACTTTAGTAAAAGTAGAAGTACTCAGATCTTGTACTTGAGTAAAATATAAGTACTCAGATCTGGTACTTGAGTAAAAGTACTCAGATATGTACTTGAGTAAATGTAGAAGTACTCAGATCTTGTAGTAAAAGTAGAAGTACTCTATCTGGTACTTGAGTAAAAGTAAAAGTACTCAGATATTGTACTGGAGTAAAAGTAGAAGTACTCAGATATTGTACTTGAGTAAATGTAGAAGTACTCAGATATTGTAGTAAAAGTAGAAGTACTCAGATCTTGTACTTGATTAAAAGTAGAAGAACTCAGATCTTGTACTTGAGTAAAATAGAAGTACTCAGATCTGCTACTTGAGTAAAAGTACTCAGATATTGTACTGGAGTAAAAGTAGAAGTACTCAGATCGTGTACAAGTACCCAGGTCTGGTACTTTAGTAAAAGTAGAAGTACTCAGGTCTTGTAAATGAGTAAAAGTAGAAGTACTCAGATCTTGTACTTGAGTAAAAGTAGAATTATTCAGATCTTGTACTTGAGTAAAAGTATAAGTACCCAGGTCTGGTACTTTAGTAAAAGTAGAAGTACTCAGATCTTGTACTTGAGTAAAAGTAGAATTATTCAGATCTTGTACTTGAGTACAAGTAAAGATAGCATCAGGATGCAGGGAGTTAACAACGGCAATATTCCTGTGGTTCGTTTCCCCTTGCATTTGCAGAGCCTGGTGTGCACGTGCACCTGATTGCCCTCCCCTCCCCCACTCTTACTTGTAGTAAATATAGAAGTACTCAGATATTGGACTTGAGTATAAGTACTCAGATCTTGTACTTGAGTAAAAGTAGAAGTACTCAGATATTGTAGTACATATAGAAGTACTCAGATCTTGTACTTGAGTAAAAGTATAAGTACTCAGATATTGTAGTAAAGTAAAAGTAGAAGTACTCAGATCTTGTAGTAAAGTAAAAGTAGAAGTACTCAGATCTTGCACTTGATTAAAAGTAGAAGTACTCAGATCTTGTACTTGAGTAAAATAGAAGTACTCAGATCTGGTACTTGAGTATAAGTACTCAGATATGTACTTGAGTAAATGTAGATGTACTCAGATCTTGTAGTAAAAGTAGAAGTACTCATATCTTGTACTTGAGTAAATGTAGAAGTACTCAGATCTTGTAGTAAAAGTAGAAGTACTCTATCTGGTACTTGAGTAAAAGTACTCAGATATTGTACTGGAGTAAAAGTAGAAGTACTCAGATCTTGTACTTGAGTAAAAGTATAAGTACCCAGGTCTGGTACTTTAGTAAAAGTAGAAGTACTCAGATAGTGTACTTGAGTCAATGTAGAAGTACTCAGATATTGTACTTGAGTAAAAGTAGATCTGTAGTAAAAGTAGAAGTACTCAGATCTTGTACTTGAGTAAATGTAGAAGTACTCAGATATTGTAGTAAAAGTAGAAGTACTCTATCTGGTACTTGAGTAAAAGTACTCAGATATTGTACTGGAGTAAAAGTAGAAGTACTCAGATCTTGTACTTGAGTAAAAGTAGAATTATTCAGATCTTGTGCTTGAGTACAAGTAAAGATAGCATCAGGATGCAGGGAGTTAACAACGGCAATATTCCTGTGGTTCGTTTTCCCGTGCATTTGCAGAGCATGGTGCACGTGCACCTGATTGCCCTCCCCTCCCCCACTCTTACTAAGCTGTGCTGTGAGTTCAGAAACAGGACAGAGCAGTGATGCAGTGACGCATCCTAAAACCCGGAAGTAAGCAACGTGATTTCTCCTCCATAGGATTTTGGATATTTATGCACTGTATTCATGTGCAATGCCTAAATTAGTGAAGTTTACACAGGCACGTGGGGGGGGGGGGGGGGGCAGCTCGGGGGATGAGAGGAGTGCATGCAGACACGTGATATAAAGTCTTGCTTTTACGTAAATTGAAGAACTGAAGTAAAGATCGTCTTGTTTTTTAAATGTATGCACGCCTGGAAATCCCTCTTGTGTCCACGTGTGCAACAAATATTGGAGGCACTGCTGAGGTATTAATGTTTCGCCGTGTCTGTGTGTGACACCAACTCAGACGGAGTTTTCCCCTGACGGGAGCGAGCAGGGCTGGAGCACCGGACGTGCACAGCAGGTTGCAACTGGATCAGCTCAAAGAGGTGTGTGATGAAGCTAAAGTCTCAAGTGGAAATGTCATTACAAGGCGAGCTTTAACAAGACTAATAACAGAATCCGTGGATAATGTAATAAATGATGAAGAAGAGGATATTTCAATGTATCATCTAAGGAAATTGCTAAAACTCATTTAGCAAATAATGAAAAATACTGGCAACAGTGATGATATGGATACAACAGAGAGCAAAGCACAGAACAGCCAGCAAACAGCTGAAGAGTTGAGTTTGGCTGAAAAATATTCACAGCTTCAGCTAAACAGTCAAGCGCTACATGATGAGGTTAGAAGACTGAGAGAGTGAACAGCACACCATTAAGTCAGGCTTTTAGTGCACGTGGCTTTCATGTGGCACTTCTCTTTGTAAAAGTGGTGTAAATAATACATAATATTATACCTTCTTAGCCAGATAACGTAAGCTAGCTATTAACTTTCTTATTCAATTAAGTTGGGATAACATTAGCTTCAATAAGTTATGTGACAATGGTCATCATTAAACATCAGAATGACTGAACTGACTGAGAACCTGCTAACATTGAAATATCCTGAACAGGATCAGGGTGTAATTAATAATTAAGGCTATTCTTCTGTCTAACAGGTGAGATGGCTGACAATTAAGAAAACAGAGTTCAGTGAGGAAGAGACGGCTTGGTCTTCAACAGGATGCCAGGATCACATTTTTAACACACCGTTTAAAGGTAAGTGCTTACAATGTTGTATGTTTTAAATAAACACAAGCAAATAGTGCAAATTAAATCACAATATCTTAATTTATAATCCCAACATTGCTTCCCATGGGAATCTTAACTCCAAAAAGTTACTTTTTACTGGCAGTATTAACATTTAAAGCTAGGGAAAAGCAAAAAGCTATGCAATTATTTAAGATAAGATAATTTTGTAATATTTGGTAACATTTTCTAAATATTCATTCATCAATAAATAAGCCACTTACAAAAGTCAAATGTGAGTGTTTAAAACAAAATAAACACCATATGCCTGTTACAGACTCTGGGCATCATATAAATGGGCCACATGGAAGTTGAGCATGTTCCCATATAATAATACAAAGTTATCCCAATAACTGTTTTAGTCAAACAGTTATTATTCAGAATAAATCATATATAATTAAATAAGCATCTCTGGGGCCAATTGGGTTATTATTTCTTATTTGTTGACATCAGTTGTGATGATTTAAACATAACCCTTTGGATGTTTTAATCAAACTTTGTTGATAAACATTTGAATGTAATGTGTCTCAGACACAGGTGAGTGAATATGTAAACATAACATTCTAACCGGCAACATGACCGTAGTTTATTTATAATAATGTGTAGTCAAATAGATTTCACACTGTTGTCTCCAGCATTGTCTATTGATGCCCTTAGTCTTTTGGATACTTTTGCAAGGAAAACTATGTGGGAGCAGAGCACATCTTTGTTTTAGTGACTGGAAATGCACTTTAGTGTACACTTGGTTTTAGTTAAAGTTAAAGCCTTTTATTGTCATTATACAAAAAAATACAACGAGATTCAGAGTGCAACTCTGTCCCAGTGTGCAAAAGCCGCCGACGGTTTTCTCTGCCATCCTAATCACTCTCTGCAGGGCTTTCTTGTCCGCAGCTGAACATCCAGCATACCACACAGAGATGGAGAATGACAGCACGCTCTCGATGGTCGCCCGGTAGAAGGACACCAGCAGCTTCTTGTTCAGTCTGTTCCTCCGAAGCACCCTCATGAAGTGCAGTCGCTGCTGGGCCTTTTTAACTGCTGCAGTGGTGTGTGCAGCTGAGGCTCTCCGAAATTTGAACCCCGAGGAACTTAAAGGTGGGGACCCTCTCCACTCTCTCTCCATTGAGGTGAAGGGGGGCGGGTTCTGGACGGTGTTTTCTGAAGTCTATAATAATAATAATAATTTTTCTTTTTAAATGTTACTTTCAACACTGTATCCAATCCAAGTATGCAAATTATACTACTAACATTCAATCTCTATTTATTTAAGTCTTGACCCCTTGATGCATCTCTTCAAGACAAGTTACTGGGCAAACACCAAACTGCAAGATGAAAACTATTGTCATTGATTGGATGCCACATCTCTGCCTATTTGCAGAGACAACTCCCCAGAAGAAGAAATAACCTGCAGTTACGGGGATGCTGACTGGCCTTTGCGCAAACAGGTACATTTACACATATAACTCAACAATAACACGTGATTCAACACATTTTATTGTTTCCGTCCAAATAATTATAGTACGTGATTAATTTGTTTATTATTGGATAGCTATACCTTTTGAGATCTTCTCTTAGTGCATTCTTGTGTTATAGGTTCATTCTACATATATTTCTACACTTCCTAAGCCTGTGCATGTTTGAAAGGGTAATTTGAAAGCAGTCCATTGCAACCCCTTTTTGATATTGAGGTAATTCAGTAATATGGAGCTGTCTCCACAATATGTTAATGTTGTCCTTTTCAAGAGAGGACCTTTTTAAAAAAAAAACTATTTTCTGATACAGCTTTAATCCTGTTACTAATTGAGTGATTTGTGTAGATCTGACTGAAGAAACTAAATTGAACATATTTTTAGACTAGCTATAATGGATTTGTTACTTAAACCTTCCACACACTGGTTCTAGTCTGCCTTATGGGGCCCCTCCGTTTACTTAGTTACATTATGCACACCTTTAGATCTACTCTATGCTGGCCAGCGCTGGGTCACTGTGACAAAGCATATTTTGCGTCTGCCAATGAGGGGACCTGAAAAGATGACCAGCTGACCTCACCCCTTCCTTCTGTCTTCTGGTATATATTCTGTTGATTCCTGAGTTCGGCCTCTCTTCACATGCTGTCAGGACAGAAGGATCTCCGCAGCACGCGAACCAGGGCAGAAGTGGCCGGCTACTTCTTAAAACATTACAATATGATTTTAGTATATTGTATTATATGGTGTTGTAATGTATTATAGTGCATTGCATTATTACCTTTGATAATTAAAACAGATTGTTTAAACTGGTATCTGGGTGTTCTCTGTCTGATTTCCTTCCTGTTATGATTTTAAGCAGGACTCGTCAAAACGACACGCGGAGCCGAGTGGGGTTGTAAAAACCTCAAAACTCCAACAGTATCGAGGATAGGAGTCGAGGAGGGGAGTCGAGGAGGGGAGTTAGAGAAATGAGAAAGGGCCCGGCTTTCGTCATTATCTACTTCAACAAACAATAAAAACATGAATAATTTTGACGGCATTGATGAACCTGTGGTGGTTTCTGCGGTGGGGAAGAAACGCAAGCCATCGAAATGTAATCATGTAGGCCTACGTGAGGAGATTAAGAAAATGAGACACTCGGGAGGAGGAAAAATGCCGGCTGTCGCTTGTTATCATTCTCATACAAAAGCAAACTTCTGTCATGCAGACACATTGACCCCAGGGGATCTATTAAAAAACTGTCAGTGTTTTTACTCTGGATCTACTAAAATCGAGCAGGATCAAGTCCTTTTGCAGCTGATCACTGTGAAAAAAGTTCAGCGGAGACGTCCAAAGGTTGTCAACAGCGATATGCAGAAGGATAGGGAGGTCACTAATGAATATCATTTGCTGACCGAAGATCATCCCACACAAATTCCTGTCTGCAAGGCCACCTTTTGCAGCGTTTTGGGTGAGTTTAATTTTGATTTACGAATTATATTATTCATACAGGACTGCCTGCTCTTAAAACGTGTGGATCATTAAACGACGCTATGTTGATGTGATAGGCTGGACTACACAGGCTAGATAATGACAGCTTAATTCACAACAAGCACATCACTGGCTTTTCAATGCAGCCTGATGTGTAGCCTAGGTTATATCATGAAGTGAACAAGGCACAATTAAGCTTTTCTGTTGAATCTTTAATGTTTAAGTTTCTTGCTATTTTTTCGTTTGTATTCATGTTAAGCCTATAGCTGTCTGATGTATTGCTTGGGCACAAATTCTTTACACATATATAGTTATATGAATGCAATGGATTTATAGTATGCACAAGACTTGTGCAAATCAGTTTTCAATCTTCTTTACAGTTCTTTACACAGATATAGTTATATGAATGCAATGGATTTATAGTATGCACAAGACAATCGTACAACACTAATATGAATGTAACATGGCAAAGATTAATGTGATTTTGGAATTTCTGTGGTCTAATGTGATATTGTAGTTCTTGTTCATGATACATTTTCCTCACATGTAATGTTTTATTGTTGTAATGAATGTGTAGCATTAACAAGATGACCCGTTAAATACATTTTGGGAGCGATGATTGATGTATTTTTGGCCCAGTGCCCATATATAAGTTTAGTATTGACCAAGTTCAGAGGTTTTCATATGTATCAACTGACTTAGTGTTGTGTATTTTTGCACAGTTTCAATATGAAAAATAAAATGGATCTATTGCATTTTGGAGGGAAAAAAACGTGTCATGGATTTATTGCATTTTGGGGAAAAAATGATCAGTTTTTAAAATAAATCTTTGAAAATCTAATTCTGGATTTTAATTTGTAATGTTATTATAACCTCAAGATGCTATGTGAAAGTTTGAAACAGAAAATAGTGGTTTTCACTTGCCACTTTTCTTGGTAAAGAAAATACATTTTTACTCAAATTAATCAACATGGATTTATAGCGTTTTGGAACCAAACTCTTCATATAATCCATGTAGCGGATGTGCATTGTGGTCATAATGAAGAGAGGTTTGAACTGTGAAGCGTACAGAATAAACGGTATACTCCTTTGATTGGTGTTGTGTGAAAAAAGATCTATCATCGCTCCTAACATATTAATTCAGCAACAGACTTCTTTGAGCAGGGCTGTAAACGCATCACTCACCTCTGCGTGTCTCTGGGTCCCTTATTACGACCCAGAGACACGTTTTAAAGTGTATGTTGTTTCTTACACGACCACTAGAGGTGCTCTAGTGGTCGTGTAAGAAACAACATGCTCCCGACCCGTTCATTGCAAACGCTCCGGAGGGACGTTTATTCACAAATAACCCTCTCTGGAAAATCCTATATTGTGGAATAGTTTGGCCATTAAAATGCTTTTTGATTCGATTTCTGGCGAGAAGTGTATATTGTACTTGTTAGAGAATATTTCTTCTCTCTTCCTAAGTGTCAAATAATAATTCTTCCTTATTCCTAAGTGTGATGAAAACTTCTGTGCAGCAATGCAGAGGAAATTATGGAAGCTGGATCGTCTTTAGTCAAACACTGAAGTTTATTAAAAGTAGAATACAGCCGGAGAGTTCACAAGGTAAATTCACACTTTACATGCGAGAAACCAAATCAACAAAGGACGACAGAAACACAGATCTATACATGAAAAGAGGAGGGACCTATATTCCCGCCTTTCCCCTAACCATTACCAGACATCGGAACAAAGGCACCTTTGTATTGCAACTCCTCATGTGCCCAAACCCCTCCCCCACAGGAAGGCAGATGACCTCTTGACCTGTGTCCTCCTGAAGATACACGCAGGATCCCATGCAACTCAACAAAAGCACACGTCTGTTAAGCAACAGTTAATAAGAAAGACTGAGAACCTCTAAATACACAGATCGGATTAAAATATTCTCTGACACTAAGATATTTAACCTTAATTGCCTGCTGACGTTTTACGACGAAACCCTGGCTCTGTTATCTCTCTTAAGGAATGGGAGGCTCCAGCTATCTTGATAAACTAGTTCAACTCTCGGTCACAAAATGGTTTATCGCTGTGGGAACGCTGGCTTCTAAACACCACTGACAAGTGATTGAGTATTTCTAGTTGGGGGATAATCTCCTCAGATGTTTACGCCTCCCCCAATATGCTGATTAGCTCTCGGTAAACTAGTTAAAAGATCTATCGAGAGATAGGCTGATCAGAATTGACATGACAACCCACCCGTGCAGTCAGAACCTTTTGGCTGCTGTGACTTGTGATATGTATCCTTGTAATAAACTACCAGTGTTTGACATCAAAGCTCCAACTCTCCTCGTGTCTCTCTGAGTCCTGACTCTCCATTGCTGCAGAAGTTTCCCTTACAGTACTCTTAGAATCCACGTCCAGTTGATGTGTAGGATCTATAGTTTGATAGATATTACGAAGATGATTTGAGGTCTCGCCAGGATAACGTGTATGCATCTTCCATGTAAAGTTAGCGTGGGTGAAAACAGTCTTTCCGGTCTCGAAGTTTTCATAATAAAATCGGATATATTCCCCTCACTGTCAAATTATTACACAGTGATATCTGCATTACTCATCCACTAAAAAACATCAGTTTATCCTTGTTAATTACACAATATTGATTGGTTTAAATTGTGTACAATGCTTTTGTGTTTTTAACCTTCGATTCAGAGAAACAAATAGTTTTTTCGGAATTTAGACACTACACTACCCAGAATCCCCAGCTATCGTTTGGGACTACAACACCCGCCTTGCTTTATAAACCCCGTGATTAGATGTTGGAGTGGCAGTGCGACAAGGTTACGCCGAGCGTCAACAGCTCTTTGAAATGGAATGGAACCACGGCAGACTTTCCAAAACTGGAATTGGACGGGTCCAGCCGCCCCCACCCCCCCAGAACTACACATGCTGGCTATTGTGTGTTTCGCAACATGTTCTATGGCACGTCTCTTTATAAGACGTTTTCATATTTCCCACGATTAGAAGTTGCCAGTATTAAACTGTGTACACCCTGGAGGTTTAGGGGATACGAAACACAGTGGTGTTATCAAATTTAAAACATATAATTAATAAATGGGTGAATTAAAGATGGGGTAGGTACGTTTCAGAAACCGGCTCGAGTGCACTAAAATTTGAAAGTACACAGCCGAAAATAGTCCGCCCCTTCCTTCAGACTTCCTTACAGAGCACCTCCTCCAACACACATGAACGTGCAATGCACGCCCAATTACGGCACACCCAATGAGGGCACGAGATACATTTGTGCGTGCACGAGATGGAAGGCTGACAGACAGGGCGGCAATCCAATCCGTTTAGCCGGCCCGGTCGTGCTTTTTACAGTATTACGGCTTCCACAGATGACATTTTTTTATGGATTTTTTGTCAAAGCACTTAAGATATTCATTGCTATCGGGATGTTAAGAGAATTCCATGGAATATAACAAAAAGTGTATCTCGAGCCGGTTTCTGAAACTTACCTACCCCACCTTTAATATACCCACGACACCTAAGGTCAGAAGAGCATTATTTAACAGCTGGTCTTATGT